CTAGTGTTCCGCTAGCCCTCAACCACCCAGCGAACGGCCGCCTTCTGCTTCCAGAAATCCTCATCCATCAGGAGTCAGAGCTGGTACGCGGCATGGCAGCGGCGCATCGCAGTCCTATTCTCCGAAGTGGGATCCAGATCATAGGCCAGCTCAGCCTCCGCGTGTGCACTCTGAGCCGTAGAAAGGCGCTGATGAAGGTTTCCAAAAACATCCCAGTTCACTGTCTCAACCTACGCTGCAGTCTGTCGAGCTTCGCCTCAAGATTGGGCATCCCGAAGAGCCCAATCGGCTGAAGCCAAGAATCCCTTACAGTGTCGTGGAAGGATTGGTGGCGAACCCACATATTCTGGAACCTAAAGGAAGTGAATGGTCAGACCCAAATCGAGTGAGGTGTATGACGGCCGTGACCGCAAACACCTTCGAACATGCCTCAAAAACCAAAGCACGGTCGAGCCTCTCTTTTAGATTGTCCCTAACCCACGTGAAGGGCTCACCCTCACATCCATCATCAATCAAGTCACAATCTGCCACTGTCTGGGCAAAATCCCACATCTCCCGGGACTAGTCCGACTGGCCACCCACACGCTCATCGGGATGCAGAAAGATGTTGAAATCGCCACTAACCATCCATGGCAATCCCTCCATACTCTCAGCAATCTCAAGCATGGTGTCCCAAAGGTCATATCGCCCGACCCTATTACACTTGGCATAAACCAAGGTGTGGAATATGGGTTCGGAGAGGTGTGCCACAGAAAGCTCGACATAAAGCACCTGATCGGTATCCCGGAAGACCCTACAGGTATAATCACGCGAGTGGAAGAACCAGATCTTATGTGAAGTGTTACCTACACCCGAGTGGAAGTTAAGGCGGCATGAGTAGTAATCAAAATCAGCGGTGTGAATCATCGGCTCTATAAAGCCAACAAAGTCAAGTCTATGATCACGAATGAGGGAATGAAGATGAGCGAGAGTGGCCCTATTAGCCAGGCCCCGGCCATTCCAAGTAATGAATGTGATAGACATATCAACAGTCGTGAGAGCCACCGGACGTGGGCTGCCTGTGGCGATGCTGGGTCGAGCCACCTGATGGAGAAGGGAGGTGGCGAAAGGATCGAAGTTCAGGGGAGACTGTCCGTCGTGTCACGCGCGATGTGGGTCTGGTCTTCGAGGGGGGACGCCCTCGGTAAGTTCTCGTAGCCTGCGAGTCATCAGGCTGAGCAATCGGACCTAGAGCAGCACTAGGGCCCTTGTAACACCCCAGACCAAAATTATATTATTAGCTCGACTTATTTATCGAAATTAGTAATATTTTAATTATGCAGAGAATTATTAATATTAATTGCATAATTTATTTATTTTCAAGCCCAAGTAGTATTTTAAAAATCGAGCCTAGTAGTAATTATATATCCGAGCCCAAGTCGTTAAAAATCGAGCCCAATCTATTAGGCCCGATGCTAAGCCCAATAAGAGCAAAACCCTAAGCTCCCCACCCTCCTATAAATATCAT